AAAAAAACCCAAAAAAACAAAAAAAAAAATGAAGCAAGGCCTTAACGACTTTGTGAGTTAGGGTGTGCAAATTGATTTGTTTTTGCCCAACTCCACTCCAAAGCACACAAGGCCCAAATATGCATGGCACCCCATGAGGCAACATCAATCAGCTTTGGAGTTAGGGTGTAGGCTATTTCTTTCCAAGAAATGTCATTGCTGTGTTGGTTACTTTTCTCTTGCTGAGACAAAATACCAGATGCCCAAAAGTAAGGAAGGAAAGGTTTATTTGGCTCACAGTTTGTGGAGGTTTCAGTCCGTAATCAGCTGGCTCCAAGGCAGAGTGGTATGATGAGGGGCAACAGTTGAAGGCAGCAAAGATAGCAAAAGTATTAAGGGCAAAAGGGGCAAAGAGCAGCCTCTTTTCCCCTCTTATATTGTAAGAGGCTACCCCACCCCTTACGGTGGGTGTAGCATTCACACCATCTCTTTACCTTCCTCTTGCACAGGATGAGGATGTTCACAAAGTGAGGACCCTGCTCCCCTGCTGAGCTGCTTAGTTAAACTTCTAAACTTCTCAAGCTGACACAATGTATCAACCATTACAATTGCTTTTGTTCATTTTTAGTCAAAATGTCTTTGATGCTGTGTAGTTGCATCCTGGGTTGTGGGCTAGAAAGGCAGAAATCCGGAAAGCACCCTCTTCCTCAGCTCTCACATCTAATCAGTCCTGGATCTATGAATATTCTTGGAATCCCGCTAACGCTGTTCTTTTGCCATTTTAATCAGTTCTTGACTCAGTTTCCAGTTCAATTTCCAAATGGCATTCACTGATCTAACTAGAATATAAATCTGGGGGGGGGAAGAAGAGGAAAGGGGACATAAAAAAAAAGATGTGCCTGGTATAGTGCAATGCTCTTGTGATCCAAGCACTTGGATGGCTGAGGCAGGAAGATTGCCATGAGTTCGAGACCAGCCTGGACTACACAACAAGACCCTATCTCAAAAAACTAAAACAAGAATTTTAAAAAAGAATTGAATTGATATTTGTTATGTATATATATCAACTCCTCACAATAAATACAATCATTATGTGCTGCAAACATGTACTAATAGAGATAACAAATAAAAACAAAGTGACACTTATAATAAATACATAAGATATAAATCTTATCCAACTACTGTTCTTCTTAAAGCTGCTTAATCCCCATTGTCTACTACAAAGAAAAGACTCTTCATCTGTGATTCAAGAACTAAGAATCAATGGCCCTGGGCTGGGGATATAGCCCAGTGGTACAGTGCCTACTTGGCAAGGACAAGGTCGTGAATTAGATTCCCAGTGCCAAAAAAAAAAAGAATCAGTGACCCAAGCCTCAGAAGAATTATAGATTCTCTGCAAAATTATGTGTGTGCATTTTCCAGTGAGATAATCCATAGTTTTAATAAGAATAACAGATGAACATATTTCCATGTCAAGGTCAATAACTACAGTTCAAGTTCAAGCTGCTTTACCTCCCAACCTCACATTTAGCTAGGAACTTATCGGCGGGCTAATCCATGGATGAGTATTACGGCCCCATGATACAATCACCTCCCAAAACCCCACTTATGAACACATGAAGCTTTGGAGGGTGTTACAGCTTGTATCTAGATGTTGCCCAAAGTCTCAGGCAGTCATAGATGGGGTTTTTCGGAGCTGGCTGGATCGAGTATGTGTGATGCTGAGTTTAGGGATGTGTTGCTGGGATTGATTCATGGTTCAATACTAGGATTAAGGGTGCCTCACCATGGTGTGAGTGGTGCCTGCCCTGAGGGCCTGGGTAAAATACAAGGGACAGAAAGACGGCTGCTGTTGTCACTTGCTTCTTTGTTACTTTGCTGCTTTGCTACCTTCTGCCTGCCACGGACTGTTTCTCCTCTACAGTGCTTGTCTGCCGTGCCAGCCTGCCTTGGAGCCAACCAACTGTGAACTGAAACCTCTACAAACTGTGAGCAGAAATAAACCTTTCCTCCTTTACCTTCCGGTGTTGAGTATTTTATCTTAGCAATGAGAAAAGTAACTAAGACAGGGACATCTAGCTATAAACCATAACACTCACGCATGTCTTATAGGAATGTAAAGTGGTATAGACATTGTAGAAAAGACTTAGCAGTTGCTCAAAATGTTAAATTTAGAGTTATAATATAATCTAGTAATCCCAGCACTGGGGAGGCTGAAGCAAGAGGACTGTTACAAGTTTGAAGCCCGCCTGGGCTACAGAGTTAGTTCAAGACGAGTCTGAACTGCACAGGGAGACCCTGTCTCAAAAAGACAAAAAAAAGAAAAAAGAAAAATGTTACACAAATGTATTCCTGTCTAATACAAAACAAAATGCGTAGCAGCTGAAAAGATGACTTTATAGTGTAGTACTTTCATTTCTTTTCTTTTTTTTTTTTTGGTTTTTGTTTTTTTTCCGGTACCGGGGATCAACTGACGACCTTGAGCTTGCCGGGCAGGCACTGTGCCACTGAGCTAAATCCCCAGCCCCTTTAAATTTCTTTTCCTTAGTTTCTCTCTTGCTTCAATTGTTTGTTTGTTTTTGTCTTTTTGAGACAGGGTCTCCCTATGCAGTTCAGGCTGGCCTTGAGCTCACTTTGTAGCCCAGGCTGGTCTTGAACTCGCAGTGACCCTCCTGCCTCAGCATCCCGAGTGCTAGGATCACAGACATGCACCACCATGCCCGGTGCTCCAATCATTTGTTTGTTTGTTTGTTTTTGTACCGGAAATCAAACTCAGGACCTTGCGCTTGCCAGGCAGACACTTACGCTGCTGAGCTATATCCCCAGCCTGCTCTAATTGTTTTTTTAAAAATCTTTTATGCCTTTTTCTTAGATAGGATCTGGCCATGTAGTTCAGGTTAGCTTTGAACTCAGTAGTAGTCCAGGCTGGCCTTGAACTCTCTGGGATCCTCCTGCCTCCTGAGGGCTGGGATTACAGACGTGCACCACCACGTGGGCAAAAATCTTTTTAAATTGCTTTAATCCTCTAGTTTTCAAGACTATGGTCACCAGACCTGCAGTATCAACATCGCTGTAGGATTTATTAGTCCTTCAGGGCATCAGACTCAAATGTGGGCCCCACTCCACCTCTGGCCACCATGGCTGGGCAGTTTGGGCCTGAGCAGGTCAGCCCGGCCCTCTGGAGCTAGACGCTACTGCAGCCTTCGCTCCTGGGCTCGGTCTGAGCTCGGTGTTTCTGTGCCCTGGGCATTAATAGGCGCCTTGCACCTGCTGAGTCGGCCTCTTTCTCCCCTAACCCTAACCATTCATTCACCATTCTGCTCGCCTCCTTTGCTCTGCACGTTTCCCTCAGCATTCTCTCTCCTATCTTGGAAGCCCTTACCTTCTTCCTGAATCAGCACCTGGGTCTGTCGTCCTTCCCCACCCATCTGGCGGTAGTCATCCGGCTCCACCTAAGAGATTCCACAGCACTCCCTTGGAAGGGCGCTGGGAGAATACCACAAAGAGAAAAAAGCCTCTGGGCACTTGATCCTGATAGAGGGGAAAGGCTAGATGTCAAGTAAGTTTGTGTTCTCTGAAGTTGAAGAATGAATTCTAAAAAACAATGGGGGGAAAAAAAGAAACAATGGAGATTACAAGTAGGAAAATTTATTGGAGAATAGGAATGAGGGATGGGGAACAGAAATATCTCCTGAGAGACAGGAGGGGCCCCCAGTGGTTTGTCAATGAGCCCACCTCTCAAATGAAGTTTTATCGTGAGGTGGATACAACATGGGTCAAAATTATGATCAACCAATAAGATTGCAAGTATAATTGCTTAGGTAATATTGATCCAATGGTAGCAAGGGTACATAAGTTGACATTGTTAACCTTGGTTGATAACCTTTAGTCTTGGTC